TTAAACTGATGTAAGAGTAGGTCTGCATATCGTTTAAACATTGATCATCCTAAAAAGTTCTAATAGCTTTGAAATCGGGCTAGTCAGAGTTCATTAATTTTCAGGTCTATAATTGTGATGAAACGAAAGAAAGAGGATATTACCACCCTTTTAGGGATGAAATTGGTTGAAATTTCAAAGAGGCAGCTGCGGTTGATATGTAAAACGTCGTGAACATATAATCTTAACACGAGTTTTCGTAAATTGACACAGATTTGTTTTGAAATTATTCTCCAAAGTTCAGCTTTTGATGAACATTCGATTTTGTAACCGTATATATTTTGTGCGTTTTGTGCGTATTCAAAATACGCACGGTAACATTATGGTGCTCTAGGGTCTGGTTTTTAAGTTCGTGCAAAGTTTCTGCCCAAATTACAATTAAATGCATCAAGATTCTTGTCGAGGTGTTTGCAATTCACTTCCCCCAAACCCCCAGGCAAGTTCTGACACTGATGCATGATTTCATTAGGTTACAAAAACTGTCATGACAAGTTCATGTCAAATGCAGCACCCATGCAAGTTTTAAAAAATAAACAAAAAATATACAAACGTCGTCCTTGATCCCATTCACTAGCGGTAGGTTTTCTTTTATGTTTGCCGGGATCAACTAATTAACACGGGGCGCAAAGTTTGGCAACTGTATCAATTCTACCCCTTTTCAAATTTGCCAGAGAATAGACCCCCTTGACTGAACCCGCAAGTGCAATCGCGGTTTTGTATACAGAAATGGGTACCACACAATGAGGACTAAAAATTTAGGGGGAAAGGGATTTAGCGCAAATGATTGAAATGGTGTTTAAGAATGAGCCCTGGGGAAAGGTTTGTGACTTTTAAATAGATTAGGTCGACCACAGACCCACACGGCACAGCTAATCCGGATTGACTGTTGCTAAAGTGTTTGGAAAGTTTTAACACCATGTTTTGCGGAGTAAATTGATCAATATTTTTGTGGTGAAATGCCGTGGGCGTTACTGTTTAAGTGGGACTAAAAAGGTACGATTCTCCTTTGAATTTGAGGCAATCGTTTCGACAGATGTTTCTTTCATTGAAAAGATTTTATCCCGAAAAAACCCACCATTTAGTTTTCTTAAAAAGAGGGGCAAAGGTGTGGCGTTGAATGCCAGAAGAAATCAAAGTACAAATGTATGTGTCGATGAAAACAATTTGATTTTTGTTTGTTTCATGTGTCCTTCGTCTTATATGGCGAGGGTTTAAAAACCGGCAGGAAAGTTCTCAAATATAATGCAATATTATTTCCATTGAGCTTCAAAATGTCCTTTGTTCCCTTGGAATTGTCGCGTTTTAAATGTGATAAGGACAACAATTGAAGACACAGTTTAAATTACAGTCTGTCTTTTATCATTTTCCAATAAAAACCGCTGCTCGAGACGTTCTTAGCTCGCTAATCTAGCCCTGCTCTGTGACTACACCGTCGCTTTTTTGGTAATTTGATTAAAGGGGGATGTATCGTCATTCAACACAGTCGGGCTTTTCTATGCGCGTTCGCGCGATTACACTACGAAAACCCCAAACGCATTAGCGAGACCCACAAAAACGCAACAATTTTGGGCCGAAATGGAGTAGATTATAAGCCACAAGTATGCCCCATTGTGTGATAGTCCCCCGCTAATACACAATTAGAAATGCCTGCTTTTCCTCGCCTTTCCCGTGCTGTTTTTGTTGTTGCTGCAGCGGGATTTATTAGGTCAGTTAATTCTGTTTTTCAGCACTTTACCAAAAACGAAAGCGACAAAATAAAAATGCCGTATGTTTTGTTGAACTGTTTGCCAATACTCTCGACTGTTTTGCGTATAAAGGCACACATCCGCGCGTGCACTCTGCAACTACGAAACCAAACCGCGGGTCCGATACAAGAAAGACTTACAGAAACAATTTCCATGTTTAGCCAAGTCGCCTGTATTTCGGTATTTCCTATATAAATATAATCAAGAATAATTTACATTCTGCGCTGGATCCCCTCCACACAATTCTTCTTATACGCATTGGGGGCCAGGCATCTAAATCACCCGTATGTTATGGGTATTTTGAACGCAAGGTTGGGAACTTTGACCGAAGTCTTAAATCTTCTCTCAATAGTGTTTATTTCTCCGGTTTTCAAGCGTGCATGTCCCTTTAGCCTAGTTCTTGCAGCGGGGAAGGGCCACAAGTCGATGATATATCGCTTTGTTTGAAGACTTTATTAACTTTTTTTAGGGGGAGACTTGTGCGCACCAACCGAGGGAATCCCATGCTACTCACGGTTGGGCAAGCATTGGGTGATCCTTGTTAAAACGCTGCGCCCTGCGCTGAACGATATATGGGGATTTGCAGCAAAAATATACCGATTTTTCTAAAACCGAAAAAATAAACATCTCTGAGGCTGTTTATGCTTGTATGGTCTTATTAACTTTATATGACATTCTATAGTTTAGATGCGATAGATGTTTTATGGGGGAAATGCTGATGAAGTTTTTAAAATGGGTTAGTTTGTAATATTTCTTAAACTGTGTTCGTCTTCACTTCATACATTTCCCACCATTAATATACAGTTACTTTTTATATATGCTGTTGTCTATTTATTTTTACTTAAACATTGTTTAATTCAAAAAAAAAAACCATCAGATGAAGACAGTTTCTTTTTTTCTCATGCGTTCTTTAAAATTATCTTTCTCAAAACGGCTTTTCCTAAACTTTGCTTAATAATTTAAATCTATAAACCTCAAAACAAACACAATGCATATCGAAAAGTCTCTCAGCGCAGGTATTTTGGTATTTTCTTCCGAAACATTTTATTAATTGATGTTCCATTTTACATTACAATCGTTCTCCACGCATTAACCTCCTTAAGAAACGTTTTCGACCTTCCCTGCCGTCTGCATTACACACGTGTTCAGCAATCAGAGCATAACACTTCATGTGACAACTCGAAGAGAGACTAATATTTTTTTGGGCGCGAGATCACCGTGTTTAAGAGGACTCTCTCCCTGGGTGGCGAAGTGAACGAGGATGTTTCCATCAACGTCTTCATCTTGAAAGCCTCTCCATCTAACCGCCAAATGATGCAAATTGCCTCTTGTGCGCACTACACTTCACGAGGTGCGAAGAAGCTAATTTCCTCATCTCGGGCGATCTTGTCAACAAAAGTTGAAGCTCTGCAAAGCGCGCGCGCAGGAAACACTGACGCGGGAAAACCATGACAAATAATAACCGCACGTGTATCAAAAGACCAAAAGACGGAAACGTCTTCAGGGTACAGGCCGATAAAGAGCCACCAGAGACCCAAGAAGTTAAAGTCTCAGCATCCACGCCGGCAGGCCCATCTTCTAGATGGAAATTTACGATGAGGTCTTAATGCAGTCAGAGAAAGAGAGAGAAGAGACTGCTACCGATGCTTGATTATCCCACCGTCTCATTGAGTCCTTACCCGACCAGGCCCGCCAGCGGTCTCCCCCTCTTCATCCTTCACCACTCTCCATCAATTTTTTGGGCCAGAAATTGGTTGGTAATAAACAGCGATGAATTTGTCTATTATGGCTCATCACCCGGCCGTAGTCTGGGGCTATCAGTGGCGTTTAGTGGCTTGTTACTTGCAGCCATTATCCAGCGTCCCTCTCTATACACCCTGGAGGATATCATCTAAATGGGTATGTACAGACACGAACCCCGCTCACAATTCGTTTAGACCGGCAGGCCTTAGGATGCCACCTCGGCTACATACAGCTTTTGTTTATCATCGCTGATATTGCCAATTTCAAACTCGAGGAGTGTTCTTCCTCCTTTCTCTATTATTGTGATTATCTGTAGTGAGATCAAGAGTTGGCAATCAATTTATTAAATCGTGATCTGGGAGTCGAGAACATCTCCGATTTTGAGACCATGCCTCTTGCTCTGGTCGCTGTTGGGAACTAATGCGGGACGAAATATGAAACGAATAAGTGGTTTCTGTTTAGATGATGGTATGAATTACGCATTCGGCTAATAAAAAGGGCATCATTAAAAGTTATAATGGGGAGATGTTTTATAAACAAAGGGTTCTTAACATCTGTGAATGTAAGCTTACAGCTAGTGCACTTTTTCCACAAGGGGAAAAAAATCAATTTAGGGGACAATACACGATACAATACATAGGGAGTGCAGCCTACGGCGAGAGAGGCGCTCGCAGATTGCGGATACAATATTTTCCATCATATTTTTTTTTACCCCAAAACTGTCAAAACATAGAAGTACAATATTCCTATATACACAATGCTGAAGTGCTACCAGGTAATAACCTTGGGAAAACGAGGTCGTACGGTTCATACAAAAACTCAGAACTGGAACACGTCAATTACAAACATGATTTAGCAATTGTACAACGTTGTCATGATGCTTAACAAAGTCCTTTTTCTGTCTTTAAGCGACGGCGTGCTTTTTCGCTAATGTCAAAGTTCGAGGTATTTGATTGGTTGTGCTTTGGTTACCGATGAAGGAGCGGCCTATAAACACGGTCGTTATAAAAGGAGACGTGATTTAAACAGTCCGACTGGCACGCGATGGTAAAAGAGATAACATGCTCCTGACCTTTGACCTTTGAATACATAACGAACTATGACAGAATCTGCACTGTACCGATTGTAAAACAAATAGTTTACCACGGGATTTGGTGTACTGAGGGACAGAGGATTCCTAGAAAGGATTAAAGGATTTTGAAGGAGGTATCTTAAAAGTTTTGAAATACTTCCTTTCTAAAAGTTACGGTGCGCTCTCTATAGAAACAACATAGGTCTCTTAGGCCTATGTTTAAATGTCACAAACCAAAATTACATGTAATTATGCTCGTTTTACCACTACATTATGTTACTTGTTGGTTATTATTTTCTTCTGTCATAGTTCTAATAACTGCCAGCTTCAATACTATCGTATGAGACATACTGACATTAATGGTGCAGATAAAATTCCACAAAATGACAGTTATGACTTACCACGAAATGCAGAAAGGTATGGAAGTTTGGTAGGAGCGTAAAGAACTCAGCGCTGGGGCCTCAGTGTAGCACGTGAGGTATGGTGATATCCGCCATTGCATGCATGGGACAGATACCATTCATATCTACCTTGCCAATCCTGTACCACGACCGTTGGTTTGACGTTCTGTCTTCTGTTCTTCATCTTTCATCTCTCCTTTCTCTCCAATTTCCAGCAATTTAGAAGCCTGTCCTTCTTTGAATATGCGACGTTCTTTACCTTTATTACGCTCAAATGTCTCAAGTAGGCCTTTGTCACTTTGCTTGACCCGTGTACTTGCTTTCGTGCATAGCTATGTATTAGCAATTTAGGACGGAGCAGAATAACAATGAGATACTTGGCTGAAAATTCCATCCAGAACAAAAGCAAAGGTTTTATCAAAGAAGTAGATATTCAAGTAGGAGCAACATGTCCGCATGATTTCAGACTCCGAGACGTAGACGTGAAGCAAGCAATTTTTGTTGGGTGTGGCAGCTCTCTATTGGGGTGTACCAAAAACCTGAGACTGATGGTTTAAGCAACGTCCGCATACAAACAACCCGTCTTGCGCTAGCGGGCCGTGTGCAAAGACAGCGCGTTCAGCGCGTTGATCAGATGCTGCTACCCCCTCCCCTTTATTAAGTTTTTGTTTAAGAAAAAAGAAGAACTTAAATCTGTTAATGAGGATGATAAGAGAAGAGCGGCATGGCTTTGGCGATTAGGGAGAGCTGTATGTAAGAAATTAGAAGTGTTTGAATTGGCGATACTATGTGTATTCGTAGGCCTACAAAAGTTTCTACTTTATTCTAGAATGGCACCGAGACTGCTATACTGTTGCACGGTCGTGAAGGGAATGTGGCACAAAGCATTCTGCGAGATTGGAAACATTATTTTATGATTTCAAAACATTTAACAGTTTTGCTATAATGCTTTCTCATTTACATCTCTTTTTGACGGGAAAAATGTCTGGTTGTCGACCTACTTCCTTTTCCCCTTCCTTCGTCTGAAAGCCTATTTTGAAAAATAAACCAACAATGCAAACAAAAACGACAACAAAATGCAGCTCAAAAGTCGTCACAACAACAGTTTTTCGCTTTTTTGAAGAAAATCCACACATTGATACAGACTGAAGTTACACTTTGGTCACGTTTTCACCGCAAAAAGTTAAAGTTCCTTCTGAATGGGTGTGTAAAAAAAAAACATAGGCCTACGCCTCCTCAAGATTTTGAATAGATGAACTTTCAGCAAAACATGACAGAGGCAGAATAGAGGCAAAAAGTTGATGAGGCAATGATGGTTTTTGTGAAGGCTTTCCGACAGGCGCTTTCATATTAAGTGGAAATTACTGGTGCAAGACGAATGGATTTCTATTCATTCCATTCAAGCTGCAACAAAAAATGCAATTGCCTGGTAGAACTTCAACCAAATAACCCGCCTTTACCACTTTTCCAAAAGCGACCAGCCAAAAAGTACAGTCTAATTGTGTGTTTTGTTGGCAGCAATCCATCAAATTTGTGTATAACCCACCAGTTACCATTCATTAAAGGGCTTTTCTGTAATCCCCCACAATTTGATAAGAAAGATCTAATCAAGTTTGGTCATTATCGCTCGTTAATTGCCGGCCTCAGAAATTTCACACACGACCAGGCGGCTTCCTGACTTCTATTCAACACTTTATTGTGGCATCAAATTTGAGGTTTTTATGCTCTGTTCTCGCCAGTGCACGGGAAAAAATCACTATTGTAAATGCCGATTCCTGGGCGTGGCTGGGAAAATTTCTCGGGCCGTAAAAAAAGAAAAGACCTTCACCAGTTCCACACTAACACCGGCGGTAACACTAAACACGGTGTTATTTTATCACCATAGTTTGCAATGCACTTTACCAAGGAAAATGCATGTTTATCGCTAACTTAAAATTCATACACACACTACACATAATACACAGCCATATTCTGGACTATTCCTTTGGTATGGGATATACCTCGATCGGGTAAGGGGCCATAATAGGACAATTTGGGCATAATCCTCCATTCGGGGTAGATTGTCTCATCAAACACGAACCGTATTGGACATTATATACCTCATGGTCAAAGACAAATATCACATCTCCCCTTTGAGAGATAATACGTATGCATTGAGATGTTTTCTTAAGTTTCAAAATACACACTAATCGACTCTATGGGTTAATATTTATTTCATGGTTTAATATCCTCACATATTGATAATGTCTTCAAAGACATTTTATTTATAATCTTGCTGTGTGCTGTGGTTTTTCCGTGAAACAAAAAAAATAAACAACACATTGACGCGACCCAGGAATTAATATTTCATTGCTGTTGTTTCTGAAACTATGCCGTACAGCTAAAACGTTTCACAATGTCAAGATTTCTTGAGTGCAATATTGTTTCATACCATAAACGATAAACAACAACTTTTTGAAATAATGAAAAACCAAAGTGGAAAGGGAAATAATCACAAGGGTTAATATTGTCAAAAGAAGTAATGATTGTGGATTCAGAGAAAATAGCAATACATGAAATTTATGTTGACAATGTATTGTTCCAAACAGGGAAATAGATATTCTCACGCTGTAGAAACTCAACATATTTAATTTGTGTATTGTAATAAATTAATATTGAACAAACACCGCAGTTTCAAACCGTTGACGTTCTCTGTGAACGTGTACTTGATCTAGTACTGATATAGCATACAACCAGTGAAAATGTGGGCGTGGTTAAGTGTAGTCCGGCCCACCCTCTTTTTTATCAGCTATCGAAAGCCTCGTGAATATTTATGAGAGGATATCCGGTATAATTATAATACTAATCTATGTACAATTCCATTGATCACGGACTCCACAGTACAGCACCATTGTATTCTGGATTGAAATTTAAATATTCATGAATATACATTTCAAGTATTTTGAAGCCTCTTGTGCAAAAAGCATACAATAAAATAAACACCACCGTACAAAAGTAAGTTGACCTTGAAAGCACTTAAAAGTTTGAAGTAACACCAGGCTGTCAAAAATGCTTGCTGTATTCCAGCTTACAAACGATAACAAGAAAAGCCTATTTGACCAAACGAAAAATTGCAAACGTGTATTCCTTTTAGAAATGAAGGAAAGTACAAAATACTGTCGTTAATATGAAATAAAGAGGATCACGTGACTATCATGTAATATAAGGAGGTGGAGTTAGAGATTCTCAAGTGCTTTGTCAAGTTGAAAGGATATTTTTGTAGTTCGTAAGTTACGGGAAGGGTGGTCATTATCCGAAGTCAACACAAATAAATAAATATATACTTTATTGTTTTTTTATACTTCTTGAACTCTGTCAACATTTTATGTCGATAATGACAGCTTTACATTTTGCAGAGTAAGATTTTTTTTATGTTTACAGAAACATTTCTGTCGCAGAAGTCTTCAGAAATTTCTGTCGTACGCAGAAGTCTTCACGTCCTTTGCTTGATAATCTTTGTACATTTTTATATCGAAAATGCAAATTTCTTCTAAAGTTGTAGTAAACATAAACATATCGGCATGGACCCATTTTTCCTTCAATATATTCAGGGAACTTAAATAGTTCATGGATGTCTAGTTACATAGATGCACATGTTCGTGAAAACTTTTTTTTTATACAATTTGATCATATTATAATACACAAATGTTTTGACCAACTCTCCAAGAAACGGACCGAAGGTTTTGGACAGCATTGACGAAATGGGTGAATATTTCGCATCGTCATAATAAGTACACGATTGCCACGTCGGGTTCAAGCGAGGATTTCTCACTTTTCATATTCTGAAAAATAGCCTTAAGTGTAGAGCAGGGCTTGAACAAGAGTTCGTGTGGGCATATGAAGACGAAGATGAGGTTGAAATGGTGATGATTCTGTCATATTTGATTCATATCTTGAGATCATTAATGAGTTTGGCGTTGAAGACGTCACGAGACGGCCCCAAGGCAAAACGATTGTCATCTCTCTGAGCGTGGAATCACGGACCGCGCACCGGGGACTCTGCACGTGCCAGCCCCGGTAGACTCGCAAGGTTCGCCCGCTAAATGAATGAGTCATTTCGGGCTACAAATAGGAACTCAGATTTATTATCATAATGGAGTCGTTCTTGAACCTGAAGGCTTCACAATACTGGATGAAGTTGTTGTACTCTTTTCACTGTATCGTACTCCTGCTTGTAACTTTTGAGGTTAATTACAAGTTCGTCTTTCATATTTCAGAAATTCAGAGGCATGCAGTTCCTTTAAAAATGTTCTCAAATCGAAACGCTCGATGCTCTCAGCGTCTATCGATGAGTATAAGTCATGACTGCTGATTGGTGAAACTAAAAAGTTTCGATTGGTGTATTCACCAATCACATCATAGGATAGATGAGCATGCAGCAAGTTCGGCATACATCGCGGCCTCTGATTGGTCAGTCCGGTGCACAGTAAACGAACGCATAAACGCTGTCCTTGGGAAAAGCGCAGACGACACAAGGTTTTGGCGCCAAAAACAGTCAATAGACAGACAACTGAAGGACTATCATAATGAGTTTTGCTGTGTTTCCATGCGCCACCTATTGACGTGATGAGATCCCTTCTTCTTGGCGTCTTGTTCCCCTTCCTCCTCCGTCTTAATCCGCTTGTATTTCGTCCTCCGATTTTGGAACCAGACTTTGACCTAGATAAAGATGGGACAAAAAGAAAATAGTAAAAATGTGGGTTGGCATTTAATTCCTGAGTAGAATTCCAGGACTTTGTGGTTTTAATACAAAGAGCAAGGCAACGTCGCGGTCTCTTTAACTCGAACACAAAAAGTTACTTTTTGACACAGTTATTGAGAGGGAACGAGTTTTGCTCCCCACCACAATAAAAGCCAGACAAAAAAAATCAAAGTCGGCACAGGTTCATAAAAGAAAGTCAAGACTATTTTTTACGACAACAATGACAGCGAAATGGTTTGTTGCAGACATAAACTTCATCAAAATGGCCTGTAATCGATTGGAATTGGAGTGAATAATTGACGGGGAATCGTGCTTCGGTCTCCCGCTCGGCTCCAAAGCCGGGCCAGGGAGAATTTTAATTCAGACTTCCCTTGTAAAAAGCATTGCAATTAAAGTCATTTTAAAACGACAATAGATTTGGATTTGATGGTAGGGTAGGAGTGGAATTAGCCGCAGATTGCGTGGAGAGTTTAGTCCTGCCTCGGGCTATGCTTCCCCCCACGAGCAATAGGTCCTAAGACACGCTAAGCATCGCTCAACTCGAGCGCCGAACACGCGGGGTAAATTATTACGAGGGACGGCCATCCATCACGGGTAGTTTAGCGCGTCCAGCTCAGTGACTGGTACGGGGGCTGGAGCGATTTAGCCCCGTGCGGCCTACGACGCGAGAGCCGCTGCCCCGCTATCCTGCACCGTCGACTCCGGAAGTTGCCACTTCCGAGCGAAATTTAAAAGCACTTCAGTTGATCGCCGCCTATGGGTATCGCTTCCCGGATGGACTCAGGAAAGACTGTGAAATGTGGGAATTATGAACCATTCTCGTCACAAGGGGGAAAATGGTCTTTGACTAATATTTGACAAAAGCACTCCAACTTTTACGCTTCACGAAAAAGAAAAGAAAAATAGACCCAAGAATTCAGTTTTGGAATTTTATAAGGGAGCCGGATAAGCATAACTGAGATCAGTTCTTGTACAAAACCTTGGTTCTAAAACTTTGAAGAATCGATTTAAAATATGAACTTGAAAAAATGATGTAAAGAAAACATGACCAATTTTCACTGCAATGACGAGACAAGTTTGTTATTAAAAATAATGTCGACACATTAATAACATCTTTTAAAGACACGCCCTGTACCCAAATTTCCCTACCCCTCTAACTGTGATTGGCTTACAAAATCACGTGACAACAGCCACCAGACCGAAAGTCCGTGACAAAATAATGTGTATTGACAAGACACAATCACTGCACAACATTATAACGTTCATGTGAAATTGTTGACACATGAACACTGCGGTTCGTTTTGCGATCAGCAAAGAAGGGTTTTGGGGCGCACTGAAAGTTGAATGGATGACTATGTGCCTGTTAAACCCCGAGGAAATAATCACAAAAACTGAGGGTCGGCAAATCGACAAACTCTGATTGAATGTAACGTGCCGTGAACGAATAGAAAATGGAAAGAAAAAAAAAACCGGCCGGCCTTGGAAGTGCGTCGGGAATTACGCCACAATTTCTTTTCGAAATTCGTTCCCGCGTTTTTATGTTTTGTTGAGTAAACCGCAGAAGCACTCAGTGACGCGGGAAAGGATTCTTGATTGAACCATCAATTGTAATATTATTTGACATAATGAAACATGCGTGAAAACATTGGCACAACTAGTATTGCTTGATTGCTGTGTTTATGTAACAAGTTTTACACTGTGGCCTCATTCGACGTCAACATCTGTAATCTTGACAAATCAAGGAAGAGATTACGTTAATTTTCCCCATAACCAGGCTCAGAGAATTCAAGAGTTTGCAAATAGCAATTTAGCAAATATTTATTGAAGATAAAAAAAATTGTATTTCAAAAAATCAGCCTTGCGCAAAAGTGTTGAATCTTTGACGTAAGACTTTATGTATCGGCTTCCTCAATGCAATGTTGTTTCTTAATAATCCAAACTCCAAAACTCACCTTGCCGTTCAAAAAAAAAAGTAAAACTGATTAATACAAACTTTTCATGACTCAGTAAATGATCCACAAAACATTCGATCTCACAACCGAAATCGTCGTGCTACATTCCCCGTTCATGATTAATATGACAAGCAGTTTCGTGAATGTGAAACGTTTTCCTCTATCGTAAATAGCTCATCAATTTTTGTTTTATCAGAAAATGGCAGCAAGAAGGTAAATCGTTTCATTTTGTTTTTAAATTTTGAAATGTCGTTTAACTATAATTATTAACGAATCACCTGCAAAGAAAAAAAGGAAAACGATTGTGCTATGAAAATATAATTTTCAAATCAAGTTGACATATTGTTTGGATTGTAAAGCACTGAATAAAACCGATTCGTGTCAGAGAAAATATACCTCAGTTTTCACACCAGTAACTGTCCTGTTTACGAAACATTTCCTATACGGTTCCCATATTGATGTAACCGACAAGTTAAATAAAGTTCACATTTGGACAACCGACTACAAAAGACCTGGCAATGCAAATAAACCCTACATTGTTGATGAGACTTCTGGATATCATCTTGATCACAATACAGCAAAACTAACGTGTGGATTTTCCCCCCTAAATTCATTTCAGCAGCAGCAACTAGACCCGTTTTCCCACAGAGCTACTTGGACAGACGTTTATCCCCCACGTCACCTGCCCCAGGGGGTATTGTCTGCCTTTTGTCCCAGGGTGTGACTTGGGAGACGCGTGGTTGGGTCCACATCCCACCAAGGTCGCTGGGAATGAACCTCGGACAATGGACAGATCTTCCCAATAACGCCCGGTTAAACACCTATTTATGTGCTGTTTGTTATAAATTGTCCCAAACTTGCAACAACATAGTGTCATATGGGCAGCCCTGTATACCATGTCGCCCTTGTTTACAAAAAAATGCATGTTGTGGTCACGTGATGCCCATTTTTTACTGGGAAAAGGCATACTATTGTTGATCAATTCAAAAATGGGTGTTGACATCACTATGCGCAACAAATCCAAAAGCATGAGAAAGATACTTGGGTGGCTCTGCAGCCTGTTGGCAACCGGCAGGTGTGACGTCACGGGTGACGTCACAAGTTAAGTTTAGGCTTGTCCACAAATCGTAAATAAATATATTCATTGAAATCTCTGCTATCTTTCCAACCAAACACCCTTATTTTTTCACTATGATTGTGTATCTAGCAATATCTAGCTGTTTAATCAATGTGAAAACTCGAAAAAAAAATAATGCAATGCAGCAGAAATCAAGATCATTCAAGCAACATTTTATCGCTCTGCTCTGATCGACGCCATCAGAGAAAATTTGCATTTAGCTGTGTTTATATTTGCAAAAAATGTAATTAACCGACGGTCCTTAACCTAATACGGGCACAAAATACACCAACACTACTTTGGTCATCAAAATATGTCAAGAAATATGCAGGTATCTGTGAGTAAATAGCTGGGAATTAATTTGGCATTATTTCACACTAAATATTAGTCATCATTATCGCTGGCAGTGTCAAACTATGATGCATGACCATCGTTTTGTTATCGGCTCGACTGGCTGGGCTCGAGGATGAATTAATGATAAAAATGTCACAAATGACATTACAACCTCGTCCATTATGATGACAGCCAGATGAGATATTTAGGAACTGAGGATGTATTCTTTGTGAGATAAGGGCTGGCATCTTGAAGGGGTAATTTACATGCATTGCATAGTTATAAAAAAACTATTTTCTTCCTTAGTTGCATGTCCCGCGCATATCTCTGCCCCGCCCTCAACCTTCGAACTTTTATAAACAGCGCCCTCATTTGTCGAAAGAAACTAAGTGGGTCAAGCAGCACAACCCCCCCCCCCCCCCGCAGCATGGTGCCTTGTGAGTTCTAGCGTAAATCACCGTGTAGATGAAATGTTTACAAGACCTCGTCAACCTTACTTTTTAGCACTTCGCCTCAAAGTATGAGGTTGTCATACTTTCTTGCGGCTTTAAAGAATTTATTAGAAAACATTTTTTTCAGGGGGGGGGTTGAAAGATAATACTGTGCGAATTGGAAAAAAGTTCGAGTAACTAGAACAGCGTGTCGGGACTGATAAAATATCTCATATTTTTACTAATAAATCATATGCTTTTAGGTTATACGATCCGATCATTTTCGAAACTTTAGCCCAGTGAAATGAACCGAATGTCGATATGACCTTAAAGTTATGCAACAGAGATCAAATGAAATTTAAAAAAAAATCGAATTCTTGTAATCATTACATAAGGATGTTGACTTAAAAAAAAAATTAACAAGTCATCCTCGTGAAATCGTTGCATCTTTAAATCTTCAAGATTCAATGCGTCTTCAAGACAGAAATGAAACTGCAAGACTTGGAAATTTAAGCCGTTTCCCAATGACTAATATTGAGAAATAAACATGGCCATAACCATAACAAACGCCGTTTGAAATCGAGGGAAAGATATAAATAAAGCCTCACTTGTTGATATAACTCTAAATTTACAACGGATTGAAATGACTCCGTCATTCTTTAAAAAATCAATTTCTACTTTCTTTTCTTGATCATTTCTTTGTTTTCTATCTTTCCCCCTTCCCCGATATACTCAAGATGACCTTTTCGCACTTCCCAAGATGACTCAGCCGAAGAAATTATATTCTTGATTTCATTTTTAACCACCAACCTGGCCAATGGTCTAACTTTCGCACCCGTTAGTTTTGTTTAATTGTCATAAATTCATAATTACTGATTTATTACTCCTGAAAGTCCCATATAGTATACAGCTGTTTACAAATGGTAGGTTTTCCCACAACCTCTGAGTTGTTTGGAAAGAAATGATTGTGAAAGTTTACACAACTCTGAGCTTAATTGTATCATGATATGTCATATATAAAATATACATATGTGTCATGGTTTCAATGCATGCATCTCGAACAGTATCGCAACGATACAACGCATTGTAATGGAAGGCGCACATTTCAAAATCATAACAGCAAAACGCACTGCTTTCTTGCCTGCCTGGCTAGGCCGCCTGAGGGCGCTTCAAATGTAAACAAATGTGACGTCAGCTAGTGTCATTACTAGTCGCCAGGTCAGCATTGTATCGCGCCTTGTGAACAGATTTTAGTTTTACATTGGTAGGCGGAAGATTAAAGGCTGAAAGCACACATACTGTCAAGGATTGCTTTTTACCATTACTAAAGCAAATTTTATGCACCCTGCTTATAAATATTCATGTCACAGAATGTGTTATAATTATGTGAACTGTAATTAAGGATGCACGATGCATGAAGATTCATAATGATGCGTGCGGACTGTGGTTCGTTACAATCAAACCATTCAACATTTCTGGTTTTTCATCACACTGTTTACTCTTTAAAAAAATCAATCGAGATTTTCATTTTTCCATTTTAGTTGAAATAACAATTAATCGTTCGTCATTAGTGAACCGTTTTTGAATTCTAAGTATATGAGCTTACAGTAATTACACACAAATTGTAGAAACGAACATTTCATGTCACGGATCAGCAGAAATGAGTCCATTTTAGCTCATTGTTTTTCCATCTTGCGCAATAACAAAGTTTGGAAATAATAATTCGATTTGTATCCTGACTAGAATTCGAGGATGGATGAGGCATGTTTAACCTTTCGTTATCTAGAGTCTTTCGATATTTTTTCCCCTAATAACACTTTGTTGACCGTAACTTAAGCAAACATTTCCCATAATGGTACAACCGTTTAGCTGGTATTTATTTTCTTTATCACTTCCTTTGGTCGCGTACCCCGGGTTTAAGCTTGCGATGGCACGGGGAAAACGAATCGAAAGTGCAGGCATCTGTAGCTCAAACGGTTCCTGTTTAAATCCGGACGGAGCAGGATGCAGGCACTTTGACACACAAGCTTTGTCACCTCCGTGTACACAATTACTTTTAACTGTCGTTTTTCCTCCTAAATTAATTCCAACTGGAAGGTTCCCATGGTTAACAATGCGCATCACATTTTGGAGATGTAGGCCTAACTGACAGGCAACTGATTTGTGTTATTTTTTTATTTTATTTATAATGACAAAATATTTATTGATGCACTAGGCCCTACTTTCTGCCGGAGCTCACAATTTCTTCTTTGCATATACGTCTAAAACTGTAAGTTCATAAATATATCATATCTATTAATAACGGAGGGAACAAGAGAAGGTTTCAACATAATTCCATCCATGAAATAAAATACATCATAGGGCGGCAAAGAGCCAGAATTTTCATTTTTAATAAACTGCTTATAACTTATTACATATTATGGTTTAAATACGCCTTCAGAAATAGCCGTGTTCGAAATTTGAATTGTGTTGAATTTAAGATTCACTAAAGTTTTGATCGTTGGTTCATTCAGTTGTAAATAACATGACTGATCCACGTTAAAATCAAACATGACCTCCAAAAAACGTAAGTGTCTTAGTAACCTCTGAAGGAGGCATCTCACAAGTTGTGCACTTTGTGACCTGATATCCGACGCTGTTTTTCCGATACGTCTATCTAGAAACTCATTTGTCATGTTCTGACACGTCACACATGTTATAACCACATAATGACTTGCTATCAACTTCTTAAACCAAAAATAAGAAGGGAAAAATGGCATTTGGCAGTATGAACAAAATGGTATTATGATCTGAGCCAGTGGAAATCCATCCCCTAATGAAAATATTTTGTTCAAATGAATCATTGAATGTTATTTTAGTAACTTTTGATGTGGAATTCTGCTATATAATGCCTATATAGTTAAGCATAAATAACATTCGATGTACGGCAGGTTCTTATATATCAGTTTCATTCAAGCGAAATTGACAAAGTTCTTTCTCAATCAGTTCCCACCAGTCTCAACGATGGCTTATGCAATCGAGGCAAGAAATAACTCGAGACACTTTAATCATCAATCGATACTCAGATAATGAAATAATTCCTTTGCTGATAATTCTCATGAGGTTAAAATCTTCGGTGCCAAAAAAAGAGTCCTAAATTCGAGATTTCTCGACATTTCTCGTCATTTCTCGTCAATTCTCATCCAATTTGTCCGTCTAGCCAGCTCTACAAGCTATTGTATCCTTTAATTCCCGCCAAAACGACCGTTAAGTTTCTCAAAAAACGCGGCCTGCAGCTGAAGAACAGGGCTGAATACACAAAGACACTCGCTTCTAATTTTCCAATCAAAACCACATTACACAACACGGTATCGCTTCAAATAAGCGTAATATACCCTGGCGGGGTTGGCCAGGTAGCTAGGCGGTGGGCCGGGGCCGGTGTAACTCAGCCCCCTCGATCGTAATGGAATAATCGGTCAGGAATCTGGGCTCGGAAAATCGAGTTTAGTCGGCAGCCGGGACCGGGAAAAAGGGGGAGGATTTGTTATTACAAGTTGCGCTCAATAATGGCAAACGGGTGCGAGATGAACATTATGACAAACAGAATGCACTAGAAATGTACACAATGCCCTAGGCCGTTAGGTGTTGTATGTATTATGCCGGCTTAACTACCGATGGGTTATTATAATTGTACAAATGGCTGCCCACTACTTCTCTGTATTTTTCATCAATTTCCATTTTGAACAATATGAATTGTTTTGATTCGATGTACAAGCGCAAGCCAATCGACCAACACATCAATGCACAGTTGATTGAAGGAATGCCACAATAATGTTCCAGGAAACTATCATCGAAATGGGGGGAATTACCAGTGTCTTTTCAAGGAAGGGAAAAATCGTGTAATGAAATTACTGGAATGATCAACTTCAGCGCAGGTCTCAGTTGTGATTCGACAGCTCCAGTTTTGACAGAACGACAATGACAAACGACAATGACAGACGAAAATGACCATAAAAACCCCCGCAAACTCAACAACGAGGTGTATAGATAGCAATAATGGGATTGATGCGAAATTGTATCTCGTAGGCCCTATAATCAACCTAGCAGCCCTATATGTTCTTGTCAAGCAAAAGTGCCAACATATTTTTCTGGGTAACAACATTAAATATAGGCCAGACAAGATCGTGCCAAAAAGTTCAGGGCCTAAATTTCATCGAGTATCCGAAAAGAAAACATATCTATGCAAATTTAAGTGCTTAGCAAACAACAGCCGAGGACCAGTTACAACTTACAAGTAATGTATATTGAATGGACTTTTAACTGGTAACCTGTTTGTGCTTAACAAAATCCCATGTGCTTAATAAATCCCTGTTCTAAGCAGCTCGGTCCCCGATGGACAAAATGTTCATCCATTTCCATCTCACTTTTCACAATTGACAGAATTTTGGTGACCAAAAGGGTGAAATTTTAAGCCAAAAAAGTGAAGATTTACCTGAGTTTCTGTGAGGTTAAGGCTAGCAGCGAGCTGTTTTCTCTCGGCTCCCACCACGTAGTGATTCTTCTCGAAAGCTTGCTCAAGCCTCAGTAGTTGCGACGGGGAGAACGCGGTTCGGATCCGCTTGGGTTTCCGGAAGGGATGCTGGAGGAAGAAGCCTCCGTTTGCTATATCGCCTCCTGAAAAGAAATGTTAAAAAAGGGGAATGGAAATAATAGTCAATCTAAAAAGACAGGGCTAGTGGTTAGGTTTGTGACTCATGATCAGAGGGTCAGGGGTTCGAATCCAGCTGCTGGTCATATGTTGTGTCCTTGGGCAACCTTACCCCAACTTGCTTGCCTCCACCTAGGAGTATAAATGGGTACCGGCATTAGCTGGGGAGTAACCTGCGATGGACTGGCATCCCATCCAGGGGGAATAGAAAATAATATTCTCAGTCATTTCATGCCAAGGAAACAGGAGATAAACGCCGACCTGATGGGCCACATCGGCTCGTGACAGACTTGATTATACATACAACTAAAAAAAAAAAAAAAAAGACTGGTGACGAATGAATACGGGAGGCTGAAACCATACCACCTTGTGGTAAGGCAGAACAAATGGAAACCGAGAATCGGTTCAATCTTCCAACGAGAGAGCTAATCAAACACGGACCTGTTATCCAAACGGGAATGTCCTAGATCTATTTTTCTTTCAAATCGACTAGGTTTATCATTTTCAAAGAATTATAGGCCAATACTATATTTCGAAAACCGAAATCGGTTTGTAAGAATAATATACTCCAACCTTTGTCCTGTGTTCTTTGTAAACTATATGAATCTTATAAGCTTGTTAAGGCTTATAGAAAACGAAATATGTAAAAAAAAAATACTTGTCATACTGAAAAATGTCATTATGATATAATGATATTTCTTTAAAGAAATGTCAATATGTGCATATAAAGATCATCAAAATATACTGACAAATGTTTTAAGAGTAGGCGCGCTTACTTAAGCTCAAAGTAGGTATGTCGGAGGTTAATTATGCACTCAGGCAGATAAAAATGCCTCTTCTCTGTTAAAACCGTAACAAATTCTGAAGTCTGACTAAGTTTCAAGGCGACTATTGGATTTCCTTCGGGTGTTGTAAAGTGGCGCTGATAATATTATGATATTCCCACTCAGTGGCGGGGCTTCATATCGCGTCCAGGGGGGTTTCTGCATGTTTTTTCCCACTCGATGATCGACCGACAGCGTGATATGATATGACGGTGCATGGCCGGTCACCGTCTGTACAGAAACCACGAGGAAGACAGAAAAAAAAATCTGGGAAAATCGTGGAGGTAAAGGGCCACTTTACGCTCAATTTGGTGGTCGATTGGCGCCTTTGGGTTCTACACGCTATAATCCATAAAGCAAAAAAAAGGAAAAGGGAAAAGAAGCGCGCTTTTTTACTCTGTTCGTTTTTCGGTCGTCTGCTCGTGCAGCGGACGAGCTGCGCTCGGAGGAATGGCCGCGCTTTCACGGAACCCGAAAACAGCTGCCGTGCTGCGCGAAATCTGATTTTGGAGGGCGAAATCCGACCAGATTTTGTTGAGTTCAATAATGATCTTGATGATATGATGGGGGTTTGGGGCGGTTATGGCTGAAGTGGTAGTGGTATTATTTAGCGATGAGTAACTCTTGAAGTAAAGAGGCATGTGAAGAGGTATTGACGTGTGAGACTGAGAAGCCAACAAGAAACACGATCGTGAAGAACAAAAGGGAAAAAGAATCGAAAATGTTTTGGTCCTTTTGGGAATTGCAAAGTCTCACATTTTGTTACAGAAACCGTACGACCTCGAGTGCCTTTAAACATTAATGTGATGCGTCACATGGAAAAAAAATGTAACAACTTTGAATCATTATTTTTTTTTCATCAACGCACCGGCAAGAAGCAAAGGAAGTTGCAATCGGTTTTATTTATTTACACTGCGAAACAATCGTTTTGCAGTTGACAAGGTTGCATCATTTCAAAATTTGATTCTCACGATTTAGTTGCCTTCAAAAATGTCTGATTTTGACTTGACTTCCAGTGTGGCACGCATGCACCAACCAAAACTACGCTCGCAGCGCTATCGCATCCATCAACAATCAAACAACCCAAGCGAAAAACAAGACAACTTGGATGTATTACGAAGTCTTAAAGGAATCCCGGGCAAAGCGAAAGATTGTTATTTGTTAGCCCTGGTCCTCGCTGGTGGTTTCTCAAAGCTAATCATGCAGAGTTTACAGTCCGGTAAAGCGAGACCTTTGGCGGAGTGATTGCCGAAATCTGTGCCGGGGCGAGCATCAAAGGCACCCGCCCCTTATGCCCCGAAGTCAGCCCACACTGGGTGCTGCAAGACCGGTGTAATCATCGCTAAACAAGGACAAACATATCACTTTTGGTTTTAATTGCTTCGGTTCCCTTATCGGGGTAATTGATGTTAGATAGCGGCGGTTGGAGACAAGAACAAAGAAATACAAAGCTGGAGCGGACATACCGATGTTGTCTTTATCAGGTTTAATATTTCTAATGAATTGTTGTTGTAGGTGATTCTAGACCGTCTTATCTGTTGTATCTGTGTTATGATACCGGTGGATGATCATCAAACAAAACAACTTCAAGACAAATGTATAAAATTTACAAGACAATCAAAGGCCTGGCCGCTATCTATTTCTCTGTAATGGAACAAACATTGAGGAATTGTAACAGTAACACATTAAAAACCCATAAACTTGTACAATTAACCATTAAATTGAAAGTATAAAGAATTAAAAAGATGACTTTCTCTTTTAAGTCGACAAGCTGCATCTCAGCATCCAGAAAGTATCATATATACTCTTCAAATATTGTGTCTGTTTGTTGGTCTCTACGCATGGCTACTCACGTCCCCGTCAGCTTGCTTCATTCTCTTCTTTTATCTTTTGACTATTTCGATTTGTCTTAAGGCTCATTTCTACCAGCATCATTCAACTGACACCTGCTCTTCTGTATGTCCGTCACTTCAAGTTTTGTCTTTCTGTATTTCCTTATTTTTTTTCAATCCGTCTTGAACGATGCCTCTTTAACGTTCAGTGCTTTCCTGGTCTGTCGAACTGGTTTCTATTTTTTGTGTCGAACTTTCTAACTATCTTGTTGTATTTGCACCGCCGCTTGAACTTTTTCGTCACGTGACCGACTCACTTTAGGAACGAAAGTCATGTTCTCATCACTTGACATGAAGGAGTTGGACATAACATTTCTTGCATTCCATTCCACGAAACACATTTAAAAATAATTACCATTATCTTATTTCCAACAAAAATAGAACATTCCGAATGTTTGAGTTGCCGAAGAAAGGAATTTCTCGTTGAATGTTTACTTCTATTTCTGTAATTTTTAAAGGCGAAAAAAAAATTAAATGCGCGCTTTTTTGACCAGAATCAATTATTTTTGTGCGATGCACTCACTTTTGACACTTTTGGTCGAGTTGACAGCCAATCGCAATATGCTTCGGTCTCACAGATTTTTAACAAGTCATTAAAATGAGAATTTAACAGAAATGAAATGTTAAAAGTAAACATTAAGTTTTCATTCTAGCCAACAAACTTTCTTACTAAGGAATGGTAAATGTTTCCAAAAGAATCGAAGTTTTATAGTTTTCTTTAACATTTAATACTGACAGTTTAGATCAATACATAGTCAAGAAGCAGTGTCTAATATTCGATTTTCCGTCCTTGATGAATTGATGTACAAACTGGCGCAAATAGAAATTTAGCTCAGCTTTGTCTAATCATCATTAGCAGTAATTGCGTGAGTGTTCATTGACAGCGCTTCACTGGAAATGGGCGTTTACCAAAGTGCATTCCATTCAGAACCCGACACTAATGGCTCACTGCACCGTTTACCCAGCTATAAAATTAAGTAGGGGGCAATTATAGGGACAGTATAAACCGACCAGGGTAATTGTTGCGGTCTTTTCAAAACTTTCCAAAAGTGAAACAAGTTTGGTGCGTAAAAATTTCCACTGGTCGTTTTCATAAGGAAGATTTCAAGTGATGCTAATAATCTCTTGCACTGCAAGAAATGAAGTGACCTATTTCTTTCTTCATTTCGACTAAACAGTCAATTTCAAGCTTCGATCTTGGGGTCAGTTGCTTCATTCTGTTCCCCAATCGATGCTTGTAGCACCCTCAATAGCCCAGTGGCTAGTACTGGTTTAAGAAGATCAAACAGTCCATCAATAGAGCAAAGTCAACCTTTTTTTCTCTAAAACTCCGACCCTTTTGTGTTTTTGATACCTCTGTTCAGCGCCCGTGTGTGTAGGATCAAGCCTAGAGGTAGGATCAAGTTAGCGCGATGCGCGTGGCGCGCGGCAGCCGTGCCCAACGGTACAGACTGAAGTGACCGCACGCTATTTCATTTGCCCTATGTAAACAAAAAGCAAGTGTTGCCAAAAACCTCTTACTCTCTTGAGACAAAAACAATATCGCTGCATGGTTAATTTTTCAGCTTCATATAATTTCTAGCAGGACACATGCCTTTTCAGCCGTTGTTTTTTCTTAACACCATGGTGATAAGTATTCCTTGAAGACTATAAACAAAAAAGCTGATATCATTTTTTCATTCCTTTTCGGGAAGTCTATTTCGAAACATCAATAACCTTGTTGGTACAGGTACATGGAATAACGTCATCTTTGAACGCAATAAACGAGGAAAGATGTCATTTAAGGAAAACACACAGTGTCTTGTAAACAAAATTGTATTTGTGTTTCATGTTTCCTCGGAGATACCAATCGTTGGTTTTGTTTTGGAAATATCTTGAATTGATTAACTCATCGACGTGATTGCTTACAAGACTTTGCAAAAAAGGTGCCAGTCAATGCGAAATTATTGAAAGAATATTGAGAAAAACAATATCATGATGGACTACCAAAAGGACCAATACTTCTCATTCTTAACGGCTACAATCCTTTACAGACATGGTGATAATATCAACCACTGCCAAATCGGATAAAACAATGACATATTAATCAATGAGTATCGCTGTGATTTAGTATTATTTTATTAAATAATCAATCTTGTTTGATCCAAAAACCGCACAGACTTTGCCCGACGTGACCGATTTGTATTAAGGATATTGCGCTTGCGCGAGCACGTTTTGACACGAGATTTTTTGGTGTCATTTTCTGTGAATTCTCCACGACTACGCATGCTCAATCACGTCAGTATACAATTTCGTCACGGAAGCCATTTCGTCACATTGTAAAGGTTTTCTGAATAAAACAAAACTTGAAATTCCGGGGTTTATTTCCGCAAGAAAGAAAACATTTGTATTCGATGCATAAACTATTACGTCAAGAAGCTCGTCCACTTTCAATCAATTTTCCGATAATTTGTTGTGTAAATAAAACATTGTAAAAAGGGCATTGTTAGGCCAATATCAATGATTTTATTGCAAAGTACTTTGCCTGAATACAACACAATGTCTTTTCGACGACTGCATTCACTCTCTTGAACAGCTATGGAATCTATAACACATGACAGCTACTGGTTTATTGACAAATTAAATCGATATTACAATAATGACTGAAACATCATTTTAGACACTTTTTTCCACTGAAGCGCGATAATCTTCATATTCCAAACTGTAAAGTCATAATTTCTCATGCATTATTACGGGAACGCTGGTGGAATACGACATTCAACTTGGGCCTGAAGTTGAGACGTAGGCAAAATTCACAATGGATTGTTTGCCATGTTTGCATTTCTGCAATTCAACCGACAAATTGCGGTGAGCTCTTTACAAAGATATCAGCTTAACTCATGATAATTTAACGGGCATTAACACCTTATTACCGAGCAAAATAATACTTAATCTGACGAATTATTCTTACCTGCGAATCCTCGGTGACCAAATAGTCTATTTCGCGCCAGGAACCACGGGTAGAGTCCGAACGGCTCGCGCCGGGGAGGCGAACCGAAGACACCGGCCAGAGCAGCGGGGTGGTGGTGCGGGGACGGGAAGCCGTGAGCTCCCGGCATACCGAGGTGCTGCGGCATGGCGAATCCCGGGTGTACGGTCTGCGCGGACTCCGACGGGTAGGCTACCTCGGGCGAGTACAGTCCCTTGATAGGGTGGGCGAAGGCGGTGTGGAACGACGAGTCCCCGGTCGGACTGGGCTTGTGTAGCCTGCTGACCACGATGGGTGTGAAGGGGGTCGGGGAGCCCACTGAGTCCGGGCTGGAGGTAGTCGGAGCAGGTGGATTTGAGGGGCTGGAGGACTTGGAGACCAGGGACTCAATGCTGAAGCAACTTGGCTTGGAGGGCGGCGGGGGAGGTTGATATAGATCAACGGCAGACATGGTGAAAGTTTTTATTTTAATAACTGACCACCAAAAAGTTAAAATTCAACCACTCCTTTGTTCCTTCTGTCAGATCGCTCAGTTACTTTCCAGTTTCAAATACAATGTACGTCTTTGAAGTTTTAATTCATCATAAGCGAAGCAATACTGGAGACATGTTAAACTGAGAAAAACAAATATGAGATTACTAAAAGATTATAGAAAGATGTGGTAACATCGTGCGACGGGTGATTCTCCAAAATTGTTACAAGGTTGTGGTGTGCTTGGAAGAATGTTCCACGTTGTCCAGCCAGAATCAGAGAGCACACTGGATGATGAGAGTCTGAAGTGGTATTAGTTTTCGCCTCCCGCGTGCTGGATTGATTGAACCGAGGGCTGGTCAAATACTCCTCAGTGATTGCTGATCGTTCCACCGGAGGGCACTACTCGCATCAATACGGCATCAGGTCCGATAGGGGGGAGTGTATATCAACTGGGAATATTGACGACTAGAACCTCATCAAATACTTATGAATGGACCCGGCTCCGATACGAAACCACACACGAGACTGACTGCGATTAGCCGTATCATCAATGTGACAACCTTCTCTTGTCTGCGATGCCTTTTCCTAGCTGTCAACACGAGACCATTTTGCGTCGCACGGCTGAAATGAAAAACTCTCTCCACATTAGGAGGTTGCAGTGGCTCTCTAGCCCACCAAGCGAGCCGCATAGCACTACAGACCGGTCCTAAAATCTGCTAATCGTTCCATTTGCATAGTTACGACTAATTAGGCCATGACAGAGTGGGCTTCACTGACACGAGAGCGCGACGCTGATTGGATGACGGGTCACTGTGTGACGGTGACGTACGTCGCACGCACCGAGTCCCATACTGTACACACATACCGTACGAGACCAATACACGCGATACGGAACACGCGTGCTTATTCCAAACACTCATGACAGTGGAGCCGTGGGGCACAGCGCCACCACGAATTGGGGATATCATCCTCTGATTGCTCAAGGTCATCTTGCGGCAAGTTAAAACTCTCCCGATCCCCTAAAAATTGGCACACGAGTCTCTTGTTAGCGATATGCTCAAATGACGCAAACACCTATATATCTAGGACCACATAGTCTCCCATATCATAGAGCAAGGACCCACAATGTGTAGTAGAAAAGGGGTGCCTTAAATAATTAAAAATTGACAAAGCTTTTGCTCATTGCAAGTTATTAAAAAAGCTTCCTAAATCAGATATTCATACTAATTACAATGATATCAATGACAGCAACGACAAAACCTTTGATTAATCAATCTAAATGAAGTAATGAACCTACCAAACACACAAAAAACTCAGAATTTAAATAATAAAGATCTTATACAGTGACGGATACAAATCTTGAGACTGATGACCCTCGTGACCTTTGACCCCAAAGGTCATCATCTTTGAGATTCCAGAGCTTCATAAATGTCCCACTTACCGGAAGGCTGATTGATAAATTAAACCCATAAACGCTTTCAGACTTGATCAGAAATGATTGAACTTGATTGCAGATCCCATGTTTACACGACCCGCGCTTTCATTTGACTACAAATTTCGACGGAACCTTTTGATGTGCTCGCAAAACTGTCAGCGCGAAACAAACATCGCCGGGCGGGAGATGCAACAAATCACGTTACCATGGCAACGCATCCGCGCCAGAATTAAGGGAATGTTAGCAGGTTTTCTTTTAGTTGAACATCCAGCGAAGGGTTGTATACATGGCGAGACTCTAATTTTGCCTGATTGGGCAACCGTGACAGAGTGTTTAATGACCGGTGTTTGTTTGATGGTTGACCGTTGTCGAGTCTTGAATAAAGCTGGCGGGTTGTGCTGAAGCACGCGATGGTCAGACGAACACAATTTAATGATTCACATGCTCAGATCTTCATAAATAGTGTCTCATAAAATATGCAGAGCAGAACATGATGCAGTCAATAATCATCTTAGATGTTTCAAGTGTTTTCCCTCCAATAATGAAATAGAATTGATAAGTTCACACGAATAATAGGCATACCATCAATGTCTTTTTCTTAGGATCGATTATCCTGAGTTGTTAGATAATGTTCAATCAAACCATGATCAAACTGACCAAACGTTCCTGTCTTTGGCTCGTTGTTTCACATCCTCTGTTAATTCAACAGCCATTTTTATGGATTCACAAAATTTTCAAACCTGTATCATGAATTCAATGCCGACTTTATTTTTGTCCTCCGATGATCCTTTCGACAAACAACCGCGCCGCTCAATCGTCAAAAAGGAATATTTCAAGAAAGAAATGACATGATGACCAATAGTCCAAACTTCATCCAGACAAAATGGGATTCGAACCGAAAACTCACAATACAAGGGATGAGGTAGGAACATAAGCTTAAATTGTTCGTCTCGCTGTGGGGTGTTTTGACTATAGATTGAAGGCTTTGGGAGTTGTGGTGTGGTTCTTAATGGTCAACGCAGGCCATACCGTGCTCGGAGAAAAACCCCACTTTTGCGCGCGACTGACCAACAGACGCTAACCCGAGAGGACACCACAATTACGGCGGACAAACTCGGCCAAAGTCCGGCCGGTAAGTCGATGACAATTTGGGTATAATTAGCCAGCTAATCCCGGTCTACTCCGGTCATTGATCGCATGACGGAGCGTGCCGAGTTTACTACGGTAGATTCCGTCTTGTCTAGTGTTTTGACCCCCCCCCCCCCCACCGACCAGTCGACTTTCAGTGGTCCCCAGTCTCGGTCTTCTGTTGACTTTGTTCCCTTGAGGATCAGTGGCCAGTGGACAGAGACCGGGAAACGTCTTGCCATTGTGTCCGGAGCGGAAGTCGATTTTCACCGGGCTTAACTCCGTGTGTCAATGGGAGGTTTTTGCGCTTGACCACCGCCCGATCCGCTTCCAGCGAAACCGCTGAATTACAATCGAAACGTGGGGCAGGGTACTATCAAGCACTAAATGCAAACACAACTGAGAGGGACCAAGTGCCGTCCATATAACTTACTCCTCCCTCAAAATGCCTGAATGCAGACTCAATTTCTTGTTTTCTTCCTTGCTCGTCTGGCCGTAGGGAATATGAAATTCTCGTGACCATACGTGTAGCTCCATTCTGACATAAATATTCAACTGTACCACTGAATGTAGCCATTTTGTACAGTATAGCTTGTGAAGAAAACTGATGTGCGTTGCTTGCACCTTGTTTTGGTCAAAACCGCTTGCGTCATTCCTAAATTCATAATGCTTTGATGAAACTTTAAAAGAAAATACATTTTTAATGTGGGATATCACTGCTCAATTCCAAAATATGAATTACACACCAAACAAACGGCATCAAAATGTCCAATGAGACAATTTCGAAACTCGTCAGATGTAGCCATGCTTGATGATAAAAATGAGTATTTCGTGACTTTTTAGCAAAACATAAAACCTCATAGTTTGAATTTCCTACCACACTCGAAAAAAATTGCTCAACTGAAATTAATGTGAAAAAGTTGACATAAGAGATTGCTGATGATGAAAAGAGAATTGGAAATAATGAAAACCGCGCGTCACGCGTCGATTTTCTGGTATGTTTTTTCTTTCTTTCTTGTGGTTGAGGAAAGTGCAGCGCATTACAAAACCCACCTCATTTTGGGTTCAAGGTGTTAGGCAATGGCTCTATCCAGGCGTTCTATTGTTCCACCCTAGGACAAACAATTAAAGGGAAGGGCGCAGCCATTTAATGTAATTGTTTCGTAATAGTAATGCAAATTCGAATTGATTTGCAGGAAGTATGGAGCGCCAGGGGCGGCAAATGGCCCGGAGCAGTTCAGGCAGGCGAGGGAAACAGCCGGACAAATTTCGTTACATTGAGTAACTGGTGGGGCGCCGCGGGAGTCAATTCTTTCGGCATGGGTTGCGAGGGGTTTCTTTCCCCCGTCGTTTTCAGCGAGCGCACGGTGCCTGACTCGCCCCTTCTCCCATCTATAATACCCCGGCCTGATTTTGCAGCAAGTGTAGCCAACCATTCGTAAGAAATGACGGAGCACTTCTTGGCTCGTTAAGCAAGCTGATCAGATGCCCAAGCTAGCCTTGGCTTTCTCAGGCAAACCCCATCCATTGGGTGATACAGGCCGGAAGATTTCATTTATGGCAATCTGCCTTGTGTTCAGTAGCCTTTAAAAGAAACTTAATCGATTTGAGGTATTGACGTGCTTTTGGGTAGTTTTTTTCCTGCAATTGTACAGCGCGAGGAACTTCTGCTGACTTTTTCAGCAATGTCTTGTGAGTTCTCTTGTCCATTCCCATAAACTAATTAGCGATGAAACCCAAGGGACAATGCCTCGCGATATTTGCCAGCATTTTGTTAAAAAGTTTGAGAACTTTTTAGGTAAAAAAGGCGAACAATTTATCAAATTTACAACACATTTGTGAATATATTTTGCCGTACGTATAGGCTACAGAACCAAAGGTCGGGCCAAACAGCGTTCCTGTGCATATTTGGAAAAGAAATATTTTTGTTAAAATAATTCAAACTATAATGTAACCTTTAAAAACTAATTAATCACTTAATAAATATTAATGTATGCATTCGGTTTAACTTTACAGTCTTATTTAAAATACTATATTATTTTTGCAATATTCGATTCCAAGTTAACAAAATTGGAAATTTGAAAAATGGAAAGCTGATGATACATTAAGCCTCAATGATAATATTGACATAGGGGCACATTGAATCTGTGCATGATGTTTCCGCATCAGAACCCCCGAAACGTTGCCAGACATCGGCATATCACTACCATCCATGCAACAAACCACAAAAAAAGATTCGTCCTTCGTCTCGAAATACCACAACTCTCCCAGACTAGAGGTGGCAGTCTACACAGAGAAAGAAAAACAGTTTAACTAAGATGTTCCATTGTTATATCCAGCTAAACAAGGTTATCTGATTGAAACTGCTCACTGTGGTCTGTCAACCCGACTCCTGCAGCCGAGACGTCGATAAAGGCTTTCAGTTTGCTCACATGACCGAACGGAAAAACTTCACAATAGTCTGGTTCCTTATAACATACTGCACACACACAAAACACAATCGCAGTGCCAACGTGTGTATAAACAGTGACTGATAAAACAAATTGAACTGGATGAAAAGAAAAAAAACTCGGTTTTCAACTGACAAAAATCTGTGGAGATGAGGACACCGAGTCTGTTAATTCTGGAGGTCAAGGCTAATCGATCGACAGCCGGGCAAGACTCCCTGGAAATCTCCCGACTCCTCATCAATTCCCGAAGCTGGAAAAACAAGCCACGGACGTGTGAATTGCCGAGTGCCGTATCTCTTAATGCGCTGTCCAGCGACCAGCCATGCAAACCAACCCCAAACGCTTGACTGTAATTTAATTCAAAACTCTCCCGTGGCGAATTCATCAGCACAATTGCTCGGGCATTATCGAAGCTAAGAATCCTTAAAAACACATTTACGTGGCACTGTGACATCCTTCCCAGCAAATATCTGATGGCAATCCGCTCCTTCTTTGTCTGAAAGACGAACCATCATCAACATTTGAAATCTCAAAGCCAACGTGCAGGTCAAAAGTCATCCATTTTGTCATGTACCCTGGCGTGGATATATTCCTCACCAAGCTGGCTGCATATTACGTCATAGGTACCTGAATAATTTCCCCTCATTGTATCGATAATTAGAAGAAGGGATGCACACAATCGTACGATAAACCAATGTTGTGAAATGCACGCATTAAAATCGTATTTCAAAACTAAAGTCGTGTTCAAAACGTTCCATGCATGGATACGTTTTCC